AGGGCACCAGTGCTGTCCCCAGCCGCTCCCGTGGCATGTTAAGACGCGTGCTGGGCTGCATTCCACTCTCGGGCCCCAGGGCGGAGTTGTGCTGGTACGTTTGAAGCCTGTTGTGAATTGACACCTAGTTTAGAAACAGCCAAAGAAGCATTAAATGTTACAAGACTTTTCCCATCTGCTGCTAATGGCTGCCCTGAGCCCCCGCCACCAGTCAGCCTCACGTGCATTAAACCCTCCCCCCAAAACCAAAACAGAACTGACACAACCTCTGGCTGCACAGAACTCCCCAATAGCCCCATCATCCCCATCTAGGCCTAAGTGCCCCTGTCCTTTCCATCACGTCAAAGGCGTCAGGGCTGGCGTTCCCAAAACCGGTGCAATTTTGATTATCCAGACAGCACAGGGAACGTAAATCAGCTCTAGGTCCATGAATACTCATGGTAATGAACAGACTTTGGAGGTCATGCCCTTGTCCCCACCAGCAAAAAGGAGAGGGGATCCAGACAGCGAGGGCTCAGATAATGAAGGCTGTACGTTTCAGCAAAATGACAGTAGCTGAATCTCAGATAGAGGCAGACAGAGAGACTCAAGCCCTTCCCAGCTCCCTGCCTTTCTGAGTCGGAAGGTACACCACATGACTGGCTAATCTGTTTACAAAGGAAAAAGCAGAAATCTGACATTCTCTAGCAAAAGGCAGCTCCCTCTGATCCATTTGATGGTTTGTCAGTGAAAGGAAATGATTTATAAAAAAGAAAAAAAAAAGAAAAAGGAAAGAAAAAAATGCTCATCTAGCTCATACAATGATAAAAGAAATTCATGGTGAAATGGCAGCAGATTAGATAATCTCAAAGAAATGGAAATGCTCCTCTGCTGGCAGAGTATTACTTGGGCAGCTGAAAAGGGGAAGGGAAGCAGGAGGTCATCAGGGTCCCCACAGATCAGTACTGGTAATGGAGTCAAATATGGGAGCTCACTGAGTCCAGTTTGAAAAGGAGGAGCTGGTCTGGACTGGAGGTCCCTAGAGGGGGAAGCACAGCAGGAAAATGGTGCTTCCCGAATGGTGGAAGAAGTTATAGTTCCTCCTGGCAAGGACATGGGCTGATGGAGACCCCAAACCAGAGCAAAGTTGCCAGCTCAAATCAGAATGTCAGCCAAGTGACGAACCCTGGGTGGGAAACAAGTGCCTGCAGGTTCGCATGGCACTTCCAGCTAGGCAGGGGTACAGATGGGCAGATGGGACAGTGGGGGTGTCCCAGCGGTCTGGCATGTTGGGCAGCAGTGCCAGCAACTGGGAAGGAGAAGCTGTGGAGTGGCCAAGCTTCCCACCATGCTGGAAAAAGCATGGAGGTTGCTCAGAGCCACTGTACAGCAGGACATAATATTGTATTGATATTTATTCAGGCAGTGGAAGATCCCATAGGAAAAACTGGTCGCTGGGCCATGATATGCTAATGACATTAGGATATGTGGAAGCCATCCTCCACAAGGAAACACTTCTCCTAGCAGGAATAGGAAATTGGCTGGGAGAGGCACCTTCCCCAGGAAGGGGGTGTCTGCAGGGAAATGGGGTGCTCTTCAGGGAAAAGAAGCAGCACTCACTCCCCACAGAGAAGCTGAAATCTTCATGTAAATATACTATGACAAGAAAGAAAAGAACTACCCTGGAAAAGGGCAAATTCACAATGGTAATATTCCAGATAGGGAGAGAGTAGGAAGCAATAGACAAGATTTTCAGTTCTGAAGATCACTTTTTCCTGTTTCCTCACAGGCAGTGGAAGTATGGGTGTCTGTGAAGAAACAGGCAACCCACTGGATGCTAGACATCCCTGCAAAGGTAGAAGTACTTAGGACAGCCAAGCTCCCTACCTAGGAAGGTGAAGCTCTAGGGAAAGTCTCTGGTATACAAAGGCCATGCTTAATCCCCTTCAAGGGGGGATGGAGAGACAGAGCTGCAGAGATTGTGCAGGAAAGCTGGGCTGAGGGGATTTTGCATGTGATGCTGCATGGAGTTAGCATGTCAAGGAAGTCTTTAGTGGGGTTCTCAGTCTCCCCAAAAGCAGTGGGGTGGGTTAGTCTACAGCGTTTGGGAGCTTGGTCCATGAGGGATGTTACAGTTATAAAAACGGATTGAAAATGCTTTGAAGTTTAGTTTGGATTTGAAAGTTGTATTACCCGTCCTAGCAGTAACTTTTAATTGTATCTCTGGAAATTGGTAAAATTGTCAGTCTGGCTGGGGAGGCATTGATTAAAACCTGAGAAAAGAAACAACAGAGAATGTGAGAAGAGCTGAAGTGAGAGAGAATTACTTACCTCAGCTGCTCTGCACTCTACTTACCTCCACTGTGCTGTCCGAGACCTTCTCTCCCAAATCCTTCTTGCCTTTGAAATAAAACAAAAGATCTCACTCATGGGGTCTGTACCTCTAGGCGAGAGCTGGCCCTCATACTGTGCACTGGAAAGCTAAAAGGAGAGGAGCAGGGCCAAACAAGACTGCATGAACAAATCCAGACCCTCTTGCAACCTGATAGCTGCTTCATGGGGTCGGAGGAGGCCCCTTTGGGATTCTATCCTTAGGTCCTGATCTCAGTGCCATTCCAGTGAATTGGAAGTCACCCGCCTCTGCACTTGCTTTTTGCTGGCACACAAACCAAGGCACAAATGGACACAAAGCCTCTGATACAAAGAGGTTAGTCCTAAGTGCTGGTGTAGAGGCTGGAGGAAGTTAATAGTGCAATTACTGTGTTGCATCAGTTCAGGGAAGAAAAAGTGGCCTAGGTTCTCCAGCAGTTACCTATGTTCCATCAGTAATGCCTCTTTGCTAGATGCTACAGCTACAGACTGAGTATTGAGACTTTAATGGCTTTTCGAGGGTATTAGAAGAATGCTCATGTTCTCGTATTTCCACTATTTGCCCAAGGCTAAAGGATACAAAACTGAACGTTTCTTTTTGCAGTTATTCTCTCAGGAATAAATGAAAACACATTTGCAAAGGCAGCACTGCTTGACTATGAGAAGTTGAGTGTCCTCTTACCTGTTGGTGAACCTTGCTTAGACTGCAGTTCCATCTGGGCTCCATTGGTCCTTAATGAGAGACTCTTTGCTCCTTGCTGTTTCTCCAGCTCCCCTGCAAGACAAACATACAGAAGTTTACAAGGAGAAGAATGGAGAGGACAGCAACATATTGAAGGAGCAATATGGGAAGTCAGTAAGGAAAATTAATGCAAGAAAATTACAAGAGAGTGTCAAGAAGCGAGGGAGAGAGGAACAGCCAAGAAAAAAAGAAGAAACTGGAGAGGACTTGGCATGTTGAGGAACTTACATACCTACATACAATCTTCTATGTATGACCTGCGTTTATACTGAATGGGATGCACAGGATGAGACCACTGATACTGACCTACTTTGGCTCATCAGTTTATTCATGGAAAGGCCACCAAAGGCTACATGTACATCTAATCTGTGTAAGACAGACCACAAAGGGACAGACACAGTACAAACTGCTTGTCCCCTAGATGTTCCTGGAGTGAAGGACAACCCTGCTAAGGCTACCAGACCCGTCTTGTACTTTTCAGCTATCTACTGACCGTATTTGCATAGTCAAAGGAGTATGGAATGGAGAAGAGTTTTCTTGGTCTAACAGTCTAAGCTTCACTATTCCAAGCCACTGCATCATACACCCTGTTTCATAAGCATGGTAAGTAGTTAAGTTCTTCCATTCCTCCTGCTGGTGGGTTGTCACAGAGCCTGACTGCTTTTTCACACTATTGATGAATGCAAGTCTTGTGCAGACTTGTGCTACTCATCCTCTTTTGCTCTGTTCCTGAAGAATGCATTTCCTTTACCCTTCCTCCCTTGCAGACACATGCAGTGTGGTGGCATCGGAGTGTGAATTGTGCTAGAGGCCCTTACATTCAATTCGTATCTGCTCCAGCTCTGTCACTTCTGCTATTGACTCTTTCAGATCTTCCACAAACTTCTGCATTTCCTCAGCACCCAGAGCACAGAAGTGTAGTACCTGTTTCTTCTCTGAGCCTGAAACTGGAGTCACCAGTGTGATGCCATGGGGGTAATCTGTAAAAAAAGATGTGTCAAAAAAATAAAGAGGTGTTAGGCATTCTTGCTGCAGTATTTGGCTGCTTTGGTACTTCTGCAAGACAGTTTCCAACATGAGTCCAAGGGAATGGCATACCTAGAGTTTTTCCCACTGCAGACTGAGAGCCTGCAGCATTGCAGCCTTCTAAGGGAACAGAATGGCCAAGATACAGCAGCAAGACAGATGCCACCACCACCACCACAGAACTGGCCAAACCAGCTCTCAGTTACACTTGTGCAACACTGGCTCTAGGAACCTGAGCACAGAGGTAGAACTGTAAAGCCCTTCTAAATCTGTGAAGGAGTAACATATATATGGAAGTAGTACATATTAGAGACCAATAGCACTTTTTCCCCTGTGGGAGATGCAGCAGGAGAGATTGGCTCCTAGAGTCAAAGCCAGAACATCCGTTAACAGCCACATTGGCACAACTTCTCCTCAGTCTCTGCTTCCATCAGCAAAGAACATGGCAGCAGTGTTAGCACAGCACGGGTAGGGAGCTCATTGTGCTATGCAGAGAGAATGGTAAAGAGAAAGATGTGGTTTTGTAGGTCTCTGCTTAGCACTCCCCAACAGGCAAAAAACACAGGAATGTAAATGAAAGGACATGCCCAGGGATTGAAATACCAGAGCAATAGGCCTTGTGTTTTAAAGATCAGGTCGGGTGCAGGGAGGTGGTGGCTGGAGAGTCAGCCAACAGAAGCAGGAGAACAAGAGCATGCAGAGAAATTGCTACACTTGTGACTGGACTTTCTCTACCTTTCGCTCAATGACCAGTGGTTTCAATTCATTTTCTCCTTCCCTCTCACCTTTCTCTACATTTAATTTCTCTCTTCCCCTCTCCTGCTTTCTCTTCTCCTCCACTGCCTGCCTACCCCATGCTCTTCCTTTATCGATCTTTACCAATCCAGCCAAAGGACCAACCCACTATTTGCTGCCAGCCCTCGGCTCACCCCGGTTTGTGTCTGAGGCCCCTTTTCCCATCCTGTGTCTCTCTCGCCTGTGCAGATCACAAGCTCTTTAGAACATCTGCTTTTCTGTCTCTGCTGGGATACACAACAGAATGCCTTTGCCATAAGATTCTGGGAATTCCCAGGATAGTCATGATACCCCTGAAAGCTTATCCCTGCTGTGGTGGTGCCCTGGGATGCTCAGTTATAAATGACTCTTGTACATACAGGGATGCGAGAGCCCCTGCATGCTGCAGAGGATACGGTGCTGAGAGAATAACTCATGCTGCCAATAAGGTAGAGGGTGGATGTAAAAAACTTAGTATAACCACAGAGCTGCTACAGTCTTCCTTCCTTGCAGCATGTTCTACAGCTCCTCACAAAAGACCCAGCCTCTCTGCCTGCACCAGCAAGGAAGCCTGCCTGTTTCTGGAACTCCTCCACCACACAACTAGCTTCAATCATGACACATCATGGCTCTATTCCCAGTCCATCAAGGTCAGGCTGACTAGGGCTGGCCTCTCGCCATGCTTTGGTAGGTGCTGTTCCAAAGACTCTGCTTCTGTCTTGGGAAGCTTTCAGCACAGCACAGCATGGCACAGTGCAGGGAGGTGGCGGCAGCACCTGAGCCTTTATCAATGTCAAACGTAGAGGTGGGATTTGTGACTTTGGGCATGAGGGGAGAGGGGCTAAAATTGGCAGCAGCAGTTTTGTCAACGAGGCTCTCCACCTACAGTTGGCTCCTAAGAGCTCACTGAGATGTATCTAGAGATTGATTCCTTCATTCCTTCCCACTAGTGCTCTCCCTGCCACCATGACAGACAGGTCCTTCAATGAGCTTTAGTTCATCCCTTCTGCAGGAGCTCAGATCTAATGAGAGTTACCAGGAGTCTCTTCTCATCACACTGTACCTGCACGGTGATCTGCTCAGCACCATGCCTCGGTTTTCTCCCCTCCACTTTTAACCCTGATGAACTCTCTTATCCGATGCAAACTCACACTGGGTGACACAGCCCCCTCCCTCCTTCTCCTTTTCCCTGCCAAATCCCTCCAGGCAACCCAGGAGCTGGACTTACTTACATTCATTCTCAAAGAGATGGAACTGCATTCCTAGCAGGCCGACTGACTTGCAAAATGTGTACGTTGAGGAGCTTTTCTTCTTGGGGCAAAGCTTGAGGATCTGTTGGAGGGAGAGATGCATCATTGGGCAGGGTACTGGGGAACAGTGAGGCAAGAACAATGCAACCTGCTCAAAGTAAGAAAGCTTTTTGCAAGCTCTGTTAATTCTGCATAGGAGTAACACTTGATGAGTGACAGGCTCTTTGCCCAGAAAGCTGCCTGGCATACTGCACTTGTAATAACGCTTCTGAAACTCGGCATGCATAACCCTGGGGCCCACGCAGCTCCCTGTCTCCTGGAGGGGCTGGCTTTCTGGTGCCCACGTTTCTGACTCTCTTCACCAAGGGCCACATCAAAAGGTGAAAGGAAGCCTGTCAGAAATACCTGAGAGCTGGGAACAAGAGTGTATGTGAATGCTGCACTGCCCTCATTCCCTCAGCACTAGTTCTTATGGATCTGGTTTATCAGATAGCAAGGAGCAGACCCTCTCCCCAGTTTCACAACTCTACAAATGAATACAGAGGAATAGGTGGGGAAAGTTCTCATGTCCTCCGCTCCTACAAGAGGGTTTGAGGTTAGCCTTACATTTGTAACATCTACAGTTTCATTTTGCCATTAAATTCAGCAGAACTCCCATCTTGTTTGGCCTCCTCCCAGTCTCAGTGTAACTCTGTCCTCTCTTGTACCTGTTCAAACTCAGTTGTAAGGTTTAAAAGTACTATACACATTTGGGGCTCTGGTAAGTAATATCTAGTTCCTACAGCCTTTGCAATGTTAGAAGGCAGTGGTTTTAAAGTGTTTGGCAGGGAAGATTTAAAGTGCACAGGAGGGCTCTGTCTACTATGGTATGAACAAAGAAATGAAATTAACCTCCCTGCTGGCAAAGGCATGAGAGAGAAGAGTGACATTGCTGGGATGGCTGTGGGATGTGACTGTTTTTTAAAGGGTTAGAGGAGTTTTAGATTTAGTAGGTTTTTAACAGTGAAGGATCCAGAGCTGTGTCTTACAATATCGATGGACCAGGAGACGGTCTGTCCTTAGGACAGGGGGGAAATGGATGTTGTGGACTGCTTTTAGATTTCTTTATAGAAATGAGGGCGAGTTTTATCACTGCAGTGCCTAAACACCACTCACCACCAGCAGGTCATTGAAGAGAAAAACCTCCCTCTGGTGAGCTGCCTGCTTCTGCACTTTGTTCACATCAGTCACTTCGTACAAGCGGCTGCAGCAGACCAAGCGTCGATGGGGCACAGACAGAACCTGCAGAAGACCCACAAGACCATGTATGCAGAGGCTGAAGGAGGTGCCACTGTGGGTCTCCCCCACCTTCAGCTGGTGCAACCCTGCCCGGTGACAGTAGCACAAGCCAATTCTGCCCACTCTGCCCACACAAATCATCTTCCCACCACCACTTCTCACCATCACTTTTCCTGCTGGTGCAATAGCAGAGAGCTATGCCTTTGTGATCTCTATAAATGTGAAGAGTGGAACAGGCTAAAGGCAATCCCTCTTGCTCACACATCCTGTCTTCCTATACCTGTGGCTTCCAATCGGTAGGTGACTGCTCACCCTCTCTCAATCCACTGGATATCTGCAGTGGATTTGGGAAATTATTCTGCTCATTTGGGGTGAACAGTATGTATGTTTTTGCATTACACCTTGGTTACTGTTAAAGAAGCTGTCTCTGCATTTGGAGTTCTCTTAACTCCAGCAACCCTCAGGCAACTCTTTAGAGACAGATGGGTGAAATTGTTTTCTATCACTTTGACTTCCTCTCCCTACACCCTTACAAGGTCTGAAAGTTTGAAACACTGCAGAGCTATCACTGGAGCATTGGCAGGCAGGACCTGCCTTGGCAGGCAGGACCTGCAGTGTGATTCTTGGGCAAACAATTACTGCATCAGATACTCTAAACTCTGGCTGAGGAGATCCCCCAAAATTAGGAAAGAATGAGATAGTGAAGAAGAAAGCGTTTGGAGAAAAGAGGAGTGAATTCATGAAGACAAGCAAGGAAGTATTACAGAATAGAGGAGTAGGGGCATAGAGGAAAAAGGCAGAAAAGAGGGCAGGGAAGGAGGCAGGGTAAGAGGGGTGAGTGGGTGCCAGCAGGGTTATAGGTGCTCACCGTTTTCATTCCAACTATGGACTTCTCCACTTTGGTGACATAAGTCACATGGTCCTCATTGGATTTTAGCTCTTTCTGCTGGATCCTCTCATAGATCCCCACCACCAGCTCCCGTGGGATGTCAGCACCATCGTCCACCCCTGCCAAACACAGAAATTGTTGTGCAGGCTAGGCAGGGAGAAAAGGAAAGGGAAGAACCGGTGGTCCCTGACAGGCAGCTACTGCCTCTGCAC